TATCTTAGCTGTTATAACATTCTCCCTTTCTTTTTTTTACAATATTGCTCAGTATTGCCTGATATTTGATAGCATTCCTGAAGAATTGAATCATTTTCTTAATAGTATCATTATGGCTAAGAACAAAGAAGACTCTACTTCAGCTATCTAGGATAAAGATGTCATAATCATTTTTTGCAATTTATGTATTAAGGAGATTGAAATTGGTAATCGACTTACCACTTATTTTAACAAAGAAGAGGATATTTCCATTAAGTTCAAGGAAATGACCGACCGTGAGTACAACAGGTTAAAATTCAAAAACAAGTCAGATCAGCTCAAAAAAAAAAAACTGAAAGTTATAGAAGGAACTGAAACGAGTATCCATAGGATTAGGTTGGGATCCCATCAAACGTACTGTAGATGCTTCAGAAGAATGGTGGTTTGAGAAACTAGAGGTAATACTCCCCCGCCCCCCCTCCCCCTCTCATTCGGTTTATCCATTATAATTTTATTAATATGCCCTATTTATTATTGCAGGCAGTGCCAAATGCGAAAAATTTTAAGGTGTGTGGAATTGACCTGGAATTGGAAGACAAATTGGATGTTATGTTTAAGGATGTTGTAGCTACGGGGCAGAATACCTTCAACCCAAGTGAGCTGGGGTTCGATGTCATATCACTTGACTTGACACCTGATCCACTTATGGGTTCTGGTCAAGGTCCTAGCATAAACCCGAGGGAGCTCGAGTCCACAGGCCAATCAAAGAGGCGTAGGATGGAGAAAGAAATAAAAAACAAAGATGTATTCATGCAGAGCTCAATAGACCGACTGATAGAAGTATTTGCAGCTCCACAACCTGTTGAACTAGAAGTAGATGATCCCAGTGTTGATCGTTTTATGAACCTTTTAGAAGACATACCTAAAGTTATGGTTCATAACAGTTTCTTTTTAAAATGTGTTAGGGTGCTTGAATGCCCAACAAAAAGACAGATTTTCAAGAGGCTTCGGCCTGAGCTGCACGTGCAATACTTGTGTCTTTCTATCAAAAATTAATTGTTGTATTTGTGAACTTTGCTGAATATGCCAACTATTGTATTATGCTAAAGACCTTTACATGTTGAACTCGCTTTAGCATTATGATGTTTATGTGTTGTTTGATTGGTTAACAAATATTAGAACTACTACTCAACCTACATTTTTGTTTATTTGTTCATGTGATGATTGTTTGGTTTTTCAGGATGAATCGATATCGAGAACGCCGCAAAAGAATGGCGGCTGCGATTGTTATATTTTTGTTAGAATACGATCACTCTCCTATTCATCGAACACCACACATGAATTTGTCGTTCATTGGGGATAAATGGGTAGGCGAGATGTTAGCTGGGCATCCAATAAGGTTCAGCAACATCTTCCGGATGAGCGTACCGATTTTTTTGGATCTTTTGCATGAGCTTCGAACCAACCATGGGCTTGAAGGTTCGTCAAGGACTACCACAAGGGAGGTTTTAGCGATTACTTTATATATTTTATCTCAAAATGAATCGATCAGAGAAGCTATGGAACGATTCCAACATTCCTCTGAGACAGTCAGTCGATACTTCTCTGAAGTATTGAAATCACTAATTTGTCTAGCCACCAAAATAATTAAGCCAGAAGATCCGTCATTTTGTAGTACTCCTGAAAAATAGCAATTGACGAATGGTACATGCCATATTTCAATGTTAGTTTCTTTATTTATGATAGCATTTGCCTAACCATTGTTCTTCCACATTGACTTCAAAACAATAACATTTCCTCACAGAACTGCATAGGTGCAATTGATGGCACACATGTGGATGCTCGACTCCCGCACGATGAGAAAGTGGCTTACATCGGCCGTTGTGGTTCTCCAACCCAAAATATTATGACCGTTTGTGACTTTAACTTGTGTTTTACATTTGTGATGGCCGGATGAGAAGGTAGTGCTCATGACAGCCGCCTTCTTACGTATGCAATAAGGAATGCCAGACAACGCTTCCTTCACCCACCTCCAGGTTGGCATAGTTTTGTTGAACCTATTAGTTTTAATTTGTACGGCTCAGTAAAGAAAAATAACGCTTCCTTGACAGACAAATATTATTTGGTGGATGCCGGTTATCCCTTACAGAGAGGTTATTTGAAATCATTTCCTGACATCAAATACCATATTCCTGATTTTGAGAGATCATGCGACATTTCTAGTGGTAGAAAGAAAATTTTTAATAAACGTCACTCATCCCTGCGTGGCGTTATCGAAAGAACATGTGGTGTCTGGAAAAAAAAAATGGGTCATCCTTCGCGATATGCCTACGTACCCTTTTCCAAAACAAGTTCATATTGTGGTGGTTACGATGACGCTCCACAATTTTATTAGACAAAATCTATCTAGATTAAACAAAAACTTCAATATGGATGACGCCGACGAGATGCATATCCCTGCAGAAGCATTTGAATATCAGATTGGTCAGTCTATTCCTGAAGAAGTTATATGAACCCATGAATTTGAGACCCAGGAAGGTGAATGTGCAGCAGAGATGGCTGCCTTGAGAAAGCGTATCACAGATGATTTATGCAACTCATAATTGAACCCAACTATAGAATTTTTCTTTTCTATAATATCTTTTTTGTTGAGCTGCTATTAAATGCTTATGAAGTATACATTTATGCATTTAGAATGATGAGCTGCAGTTATATATTAAACATATGTTTTGGAATGCTTATTAAAGAGCTATTTTTAACTGCTTAAAGAGCTGCAGTTAAATGTTTTTAAATGCTTAATGAGTATGTGTTAGAGCTGCTTTTAAATGCTTAGTTTCATACAGAGGGTAATATGAATGTGTTAGGCTGCAGTTACAGTAACAAGCTCCTTTTTTGCAGTAAAATGATGTCCACAGTTTTCTGCACCATATATGCTTATAGTTTTGTGCCAAAATTTCTTCAATGCTCTTGTTGAAAACAAATTCTGCACCATTATTCTTTAGCTGTAAACAAGTGAATGAGCTTGTTTTGTTGTTTCTGGATCCAAGTTGTAACATTAGAGTATTCATATGGCTTGGAATGATTGGTGTTGAGCTTGTTTTGTTCTTCAATGCTCACTGTCGTTTGTTCATCCGTGTAGTTTTGAAAGATAGATGATGTATTGAGCTGCAGTTATGAATTGCAGTTATGAGCAGCTTTGAAATATCCTGGATATCACTATTTATTTATGAATTGCAGTTATGAGCTGTAGTTATTGAATTGAAGTATGGAATTGTTTTGGTTGGATGGAATTACTATCATTGTGGAGGTCGGTATTTATTTACCCCTTCACAACATTGTGAGGCTTTTGGAATTGAATTATTTATTTACTCTTTTATTTATTTCATCTGCTGAAAAAATTTACATCCGTAACACACAATTCTTGTGTTTTACTATATGACAGGCATGCATTACATTATATGACAGACATGCATTACATTATACTTTAAAAGTGACTGGTATGACAGACGTGTATGAACTTCTTTTATATGGTAGGCATGCGTATGGAATTCTTTTTAATGGTAGACATGCATTCATTTATATGGCTGGCATGCATTCTTTTTTGGATGATGGAATTGTTGGAGAGGGGGAAACTGCTTGTAAATGTTTCATGATAAATATGTAATATGTTGCAGTTTTTTGGAAAGCTTACTGTTGTGAATATTGATGCCATTTTGGAAAGCTTACTGTTGTGAAAGTTCATAGTTTTATTGGGCCACTTTGATGCCATTTTGGAAAGCTATGATAAATGTTGATGCCATTTTGGAAATATACAAGTGCTATGATAAATATTTGGGGCAGTTTGATGCCATTTTGGGACAGTTTAATATCAAGTTCTAAGATAAATATTGTTGCCATTTTGGAAAGCTTACTGTTGTGAAAGCTCATAGTTCTTGCCATCAATGAAGTTTGGCTACATATGTAATATGCTGCAGTTTTTTGTTTAATGTGTTGCTTTTTTATTTGGGAAATTTACATACATAGCACACAAATCTTCTGTATTTACTCTGCAATGTATATGTTCAATTCATTTGATCACTTCAAACTACTTGCTTCTTTGCAAATTTGTTTGAATATATGGATTAATGGAGCAATTGCTATTAAATGGATTTGTCCAATTTATTTTTTATCTAAGTATTGATTGTATCGATATAATGGTGGAGCAGTTTGGATGACTACATAAATTTATTGTTGGTAAGTATACTTTATATATTTTCTAAATTTTTGGATTGATTTATTCTATTTTTAATAGCTGCAGGACGATAAGTTCAAGATATTCTGGGAAGTCCGAGAAAGTGATGTGTAGGTGTGAGCTACCGTCCTTGCTACTCACGTCACGCCAGACACATAGCTTTAGAAGACAATTTTACAGGTGCCCGCGGTGGGCACAACGATAGGACTGCAAATTCTTCAGGTGGGCCGACAGGGAGACTGGTTCTATGAAATCCCAGGTTGACAACCTCGGAGTTCGTCGATATCAACATTTCAGAACACCGCTTCTGGTTCGACTGCTTCCATTTCTACTGTATCTCAGTCGGAAAGGTTTGCTCAGGGTTCTGGAGTGTCAGAGTCGGGCACAGTGGGACGTGATATGCTGCTACATGTTAAAGCCAATATCATTATTTTTTTCCTTGTGATTTTGACATGTTATTTTTTTTTTCTTTGTTGGGTCTCATTATAATATATACTAGTGCGTTATGGTGTATTTCACATTTGTTTAGGTAATTCTGTATTTTTGATTTGATCTGAAATATTTGAGTGATGTAAATATTTTGTATTTTCACATATATTTTTCAATCTTCCCATTCTCCTTTTTATGATTGCGTTGGGAGTTTGTAAATTTGTGAAAAAAATTTCAAATAAACTGTTTACAAAAAGCACAAAACAAACAACTGCAGCTTATTTAGAACAGGGGCAGTTTGATCATTTATTCAGAATCAGCTGTTCTCAAAACGCACAAACCAAAAAGACATACATATTATCCGGATCAGCTGCTTATCACCAGATTATCAGGATAAACAGCTTATCAGGATAAGCTGCAGCTGCCCAAAACAGACCCTGAAACTTGCCAAACTTGTATTGGAAATTCATAATAGTTCTTTATTTTTATGTTTATTTATAACAATCAAGAACAGCTTATAAATATGTGTTGTTTTGTATATCGGGCCAGATTTTGGTTTTAGAATTACAAGTTCCTTCCTTTTGAGAAGGTTGTGCTACCAATTCATCTTCCTTGCAACTGTATCTTGTAGTTGGCAGCCTAGATTGTCTTTGCCTTATGTATCCTTGTGCTTCCTTTGCATCAATAATATTCGTTTTGCTGTTCTTGGCCTCTAGAATTCTTCTCAGCAATTCTTGATTGTTATTTTGCTGAAATTCTACTCATATCCTTTGCTGGTATCAGTCGTCTTGTCAGCCAAACATTTCCATGTCTGGTAGGTTAGTGGGGTAACTGTTTTATCAGAACATGAGTGAATGGCTTTTGAATAGTTTTGTTATTCTGAAAAAATTGTTGGCTCAATTTGTTATTCCGTGAAACAATTCTAAATTTGCAATTCTAAAACTGCATTATTTTGTACATTTTCTTACACTTGCATGCTGCACGGGGATGTTGTGGTGGAAAGAAATATGCTGCTTATCTACATGTATTAATGAATTTTGTAGATATGTTAGTTTATGCTCTTTAAAGTAACCAGCAAACTTTCTTGTAGGTGAGGTTTGGCGGCTTAATCATATTTGATAATGTTCTATGGCACGGAAAAGTTTCTGATCCCCAAGTAAATCACCATCGGACAAACATGTTTATGCTCCCAAGTTTTAGCTATTTTATCAGTTATTATTTCTCTTTTCTACTTGTAACAGGTGAAAGACATGAAGACAATCAGCCTGAGAAATTTCAATAATAAAATTCTCGAGGATACCCGTGTTAGCGTTAGTATGGTCAGGGCATAATCCCAATGTTGTGTTTTTCTTTTTTTTTTTTTTTTTTTTTTTTTTTTCTAAACTCTTAAATGCTTTTGGTTTATCTGTATGGCCTCGCCACCAGATATTAAAAGTTGGCGTCTCGCAGGTACCCATTGGTGATGGCATGACAATCTGCCGTAAAAGGGAATGAGGTTGGCCTGTTTCATTCCGTTAATCTTGATATGTTCAGTAATTTATGACCCAAACAATTAGTCGAGGTTTCAAATGTCTTTATTTTCTTGTTTCCTAGAAATGGGCTCATAATTGATTTGTGGATGACTTGACATGATATTCTTACTATGCTGCTAGCTTTCTTTTATAGAACGTTTTTTGCTCGAAGCCAATCCGGGAGTCGTCGTTGTCCAGGAAACCTTAGTATGGCTCGAAAGCGATTCTTCTGCGTTGATTCAAGCCAAAGAACAACTCCTTGGAATAAGATTAAAAAGAGTGATAAATGTCTTTGTATATATTTTTTTAATTGGTGGCATTTACCTACATACCACACAAGTTTATTTATTTATATATGTCTAACACTTGAACTTTAATGTAAATCATGAACTAGAGATTTTGAATTAATAATTTGTAATCTATATTTACTAGTTGTAAATCAAGAACTAGAATTTTGAACCATCAAAATCTTGAGATTAGTCAAAACATCTACTAATAAAAAACAAATTAATCATTGTTACAAAAATTAAATCAAATGTATAGTTACCCTTTTTTTTATATTTTTACTGTTTTGGTTAAAATGCTTATTTTCAATTAAATTAGATTTTTATTAATTTTTCTTTATATATTATATTATAAAATCAAATCCCACATTTCCTTCATGTTATTGATTAAACCATACGTTTTTCCTCAAATGCAAGCTTATAAGCATGAAAATGCTCGTATTCTTGAAGCGATCTTGCTTGAGCCAGAAAATTTTGATGCTTATTGATTGGGGAGATGAAAGCGGCGAAAAATAGTCTGGAATGATAAGTAGCGAGGGAAGCGAATTGGGAAGTAGCTTAGATTAATAAATAAATTGTAATATCTTATTATTAATTAAGTAATTAAATAAGTTAAATGTTTCTTAATTTTAACTAAATGATATACAAGCTATTACTAAGCATGTTATAAAATTTTTAACAAGCTATTTCTAAAAGAAAAACAAATTAAAAGAAACGTGATCATGAGCATAAATAAACAAGAAAGTTTTATTCAAATTAGATTAAATTAATTTTCTGTATTTTAAAATTTATTTATTTAATAACTTAAATGAAATTTTAAATGAACGTTAATCAAGTTGAGTTTAAATTCTGAAAAAATTGTTGGCTCAATTTGTTATTCCGTGAAACAATTCTAAATTTGCAATTCTAAAACTGCATTATTTTGTACATTTTCTTACACTTGCATGCTGCACGGGGATGTTGTGGTGGAAAGAAATATGCTGCTTATCTACATGTATTAATGAATTTTGTAGATATGTTAGTTTATGCTCTTTAAAGTAACCAGCAAACTTTCTTGTAGGTGAGGTTTGGCGGCTTAATCATATTTGATAATGTTCTATGGCACGGAAAAGTTTCTGATCCCCAAGTAAATCACCATCGGACAAACATGTTTATGCTCCCAAGTTTTAGCTATTTTATCAGTTATTATTTCTCTTTTCTACTTGTAACAGGTGAAAGACATGAAGACTATCAGCCTGAGAAATTTCAATAAAAAAATTCGCGAGGATAGCCGTGTTAGCGTTAGTATGGTCAGGGCATAATCCCGATGTTGTGTTTCTATTCTTTTTTTTTTGTTTTCTCTTAAATGCTTTTGGCTTATCTGTATGGCCTCGCCACCAGATATTAAAAGTTGGCGTCTCGCAGGTACCCATTGGTGATGGCATGACAATCTGCCGTAAAAGGGAATGAGGTTGGCCTGTTTCATTCCGTTAATCTTGATATGTTCAGTAATTTATGACCCAAACAATTAGTCGAGGTTTCAAATGTCTTTATTTTCTTGTTTCCTAGAAATGGGCTCATAATTGATTTGTGGATGACTTGACATGATATTCTTACTATGCTGCTAGCTTTCTTTTATAGAACGTTTTTTGCTCGAAGCCAATCCGGGAGTCGTCGTTGTCCAGGAAACCTTAGTATGGCTCGAAAGCGATTCTTCTGCGTTGATTCAAGCCAAAGAACAACTCCTTGGAATAAGATTAAAAAGAGTGATAAATGTCTTTGTATATATTTTTTTAATTGGTGGCATTTACCTACATACCACACAAGTTTATTTATTTATATATGTCTAACACTTGAACTTTAATGTAAATCATGAACTAGAGATTTTGAATTAATAATTTGTAATCTATATTTACTAGTTGTAAATCAAGAACTAGAATTTTGAACCATCAAAATCTTGAGATTAGTTAAAACATCTACTAATAGAAAACGAATTAATCATTGTTACAAAAATTAAATCAAATGTATAGTTACCCTTTTTTTTATATTTTTACTGTTTTGGTTAAAATGCTTATTTTCAATTAAATTAGATTTTTATTAATTTTTCTTTATATATTATATTATAAAATCAAATCCCACATTTCCTTCATGTTATTGATTAAACCATACGTTTTTCCTCAAATGCAAGCTTATAAGCATGAAAATGCTCGTATTCTTGAAGCGATCTTGCTTGAGCCAGAAAATTTTGATGCTTATTGATTGGGGAGATGAAAGCGGCGAAAAATAGTCTGGAATGATAAGTAGCTAGGGAAGCGAATTGGGAAGTAGCTTAGATTAATAAATAAATTGTAATATCTTATTATTAAATAAGTAATTAAATAAGTTAAATGTTTCTTAATTTTAACTAAATGATATACAAGCTATTACTAAGCATGTTATAAAATTTTTAACAAGCTATTTCTAAAAGAAAAACAAATTAAAAGAAACGTGATCATGAGCATAAATAAACAAGAAAGTTTTATTCAAATTAGATTAAATTAATTTTCTGTATTTTAAAATTTATTTATTTAATAACTTAAATGAAATTTTAAATGAACGTTAATCAAGTTGAGTTTAAGCTATTTAAGGAGGGCATTGGTTCACTTATTGTCCCAAGCGATTTTAGGCAATGACATAAATAATGCTTGTTCGCAAATGAATCAGAGCATTAATTCCTTTATTGTCAACTCATAATGTTTTTCGTAGTCGAAGTTATATTTAGCGGCTTTAAGATTTGAGATTCTCAAGTCACCTTCTCTTGAATAATGTTTTAATGATTTTAATCGTCTTAATTTCAAGAATTCTTCTATTTAGATGTCTTTGACAGAAGGGTGGTACACAATACCCAAGTCTTTGAATTAGAAGAAAATAAAAAAAAAAATTGATGCAAATGACCTAGCTTTTAAGAGAGCTACAATTGGATTTGTTTTATGAAAGTCATCATTAGTGGTGATAAATTAGAAAATCTTTTTGATAGGGAGATTAAAAACATTGGTATTGATAATGGCCAAATTAGGCTTTAATACACATAACTAATGACGAATGATCAAATTCAAGCTTTCATTAAGAGAAGTTCTAAAGCAAATAACCTTTGCTTGGATAGCCTAAGAAATTTGACAAAAAAATAAATAAAAATAAAAAAATCTAATCATGATCAATTGATTTAAACAATTGTTTACCATAATTACCTTGATAAAAGATTTTGTTACTTCTTTTCAAATTTATTATTAGGTTGAGAATGTTGAGATTATTGAACAAGTGACTGAGCTTAGAGCAGTACATTAAGAAGCAAATAAAATGCATTCAACATCCTTGAAATACAGCCCGAAGTACTATGAAGTTCCCTTACCATTTTGCCTAATGAC